TCGAGGCTCTCTAACCTTCTTCTCCTTAGCTGTCCAAATATCAATCAATTAGAAACTCAGCCATCTCTCCCTGGGGAGTGAAGAAAATCACAGTGGTTTTCTCCAGATCCATATTCAGTCAAACACTCCTTTGAAATAATCTGGAAAATAAAATTTTTAGAAGTTTTAATTTAATTTCAAGTCATAAGGGGAACTGCTGACCCCGGAATTGAGGTAAAATACCCTCAATAACAGAGGATTACACTCTAAAATCAGTGATTTCACATTTTCAATTTAGAAAATGCAAAGTATAATCCTGACATATATTCCATGGCCACCTGGATGCATTTACCAGTGGAGGGAGCACATGGCTGCAGCCAATATTCAGCTTTAGTAAGCATCAGTGCACCTGGAGCAGGCAAGGCTTACTCCCAGTTCCAGGTGGGAATGATGCTAAAAGTGTCAAGCAGCGACCCAGAGGCCAAGTTGAGCTCAGAGATGAGTTCTGGCCTTGCCAGGTTCCAGGTCTCCCAGTGGGAAACTTGTTAAAAGTTTTTCTTTGCAGAGACAAGAGGGATTATCTTGCTGTGAACAGATTCAGACAAGAACACCAGGCACACCCTGGTTCATGCAACTGAAGAGAGACAGCAGATAATAAAACACTGCATGAAGGAGGCAGCTGTGCCTCAAACTTGCTTTTAATATCTGAGGTCATGTTTAAGAGTTTGTTAGTCAAGAGAGAATTCCTTTTCCAGGAATCTTCTGTTCCACAGGGATTGCAGCCCTGAAGAAACAGCACCAAAGCAAATTATAGTCCATAGATTTTTTTTTTTCCAAAGCCATGTTTTCATTAAGAGAAAAATGAAATGTTTTTATTTCCCAGGACACTGGGGAATGGCTTCAAATTGCCAGAGGGTGGGTTTGGATTGGATATTGGGAAGAAATTCTTCCCTGTGAGGGCTGTGAGACCCTGGCTACATAACAGCACTACAGTTGGTGCTGATCAAGGCCTGAAAGGCACCAGAATACAAGGACAGACAACTGGGATCTTGTGCAGCTCCCTGGGAAAGCCAACTGCTTGGATTTGTTGACATGATATCTGTTATCTTGGCACACTGACAATAAATTTGCAGGACATTAGCTGGGATCTGTCATCCTCTGCTCTGTAAGTCACTGGGTGTACTGGTGGTAAGAAATACCAGCAGATTTTATTGAGCACAGCTGCCTAATTCCACATATTACTCTGGATATCCCGACCCCCCCACTTCCATTATTTATTTCAAACCAGCTTTGTGGGGGAAGAAAGAGTGGCAGAATCTCAGGAGAGGACAAAACTGGACAGAGTACAAAACTGGAGAGAGTAGCTGAGAGGTAAATCCCTTCCCGAGGTGTTACTAGGGAGAGATGGAGGTGGTGAGATAACTCACACAGGCAGTGAGACTATCCAGGGATATTCAGATTTTGCACTGGGGAGTGTAGCAAGGATGCAAATTAAGAGTTTATACTGAAAAAAAAGGGGATGCTGGTTAAAGATATAACACAGGGCCTTTCATCATCAACTATTTTCAAATATAAGCAGTCAAAATGAGGAACTCAGGGCCATGCTGCAGGGAATTAAAAGGATTAAAGGGACAAAAAGGAGTGGAGATTTTTCATTGGAGGGGACACATTTCAGAGAGGTGCTCAAACTGTAAATTACTGCCTCAAGAATACCTTATTTGAGCCAGTACTTTTTCTACCACATTCTTAGGCACTACTGGATTTCACCTCATTCCAGAGACCACAGAATTCAGGACTGTTGGGTGGATGGTCACATTGGCAGAGTTTTCTCTCACCTCGCTGGCTGTCAGCACGTCTCACCTTCTTACTCAAGGGATTTTTTCATTTAAGAGTTGGTGGGAGCAATAAAAAGGAGAAGTAAATTAATAAAAGGGGATTTAAAACTACCCTGAGAGCATCTCTTTCATTCTCACACACCCAAAGCCTGCAACTTCAATCCTAGGGTTAAAAATCTTACATCACCACCATTTATACTGAGCAAATTTTGTATGCTGCAATATCACACTTTTAGCTCATGTCCCACAGATGATAGTTAAATAATTTTAATGAGCATTTTGCTGGGTAGTCCCTGCCTGCTTTACTTTGCTCATTGCTGGTGGATTTCTGATTCAGCAAACTGGAGCTGAATGGGGTGTTGAAACACAGCATCAGAAAATCCCAGCTGGAGTTTGTATCCCATCTATTTCCCTGAAAAAAAGCCCAGGTAGTACATTCCAAAATTGATTGGCTCCTCTCTCCCTAACATAACACAAAGTATGCAGGGAATCTTAGTTTGAAGTTTCATTTTGTTTTGTTTTTTTATGGCACAGATATTTTAATATATAATTTTTATGTGGAGTTTGGGTTTGGTGTGGAGTTTTTTATTTGTTTTTTTTTTTTTTTGGTCATGGTGTGCATAGATCTAACAGCCACGTCAACAAGAAAATAAAGACAAAAATAAGAAAGACAAATCCTCTTTCAGCTTCATGAGGAGCCAAAGCCTGGTAAACCCACTGTTGCAACAGGTCAAAGGGTTTTAGGCTATTTCATCATTCCAGAGGAACAGAAGAAGGTTACGTGAATATTTGGGACCTCTGGCGTGATGATGCAATTCCAAAGGTCCTAATAAATCAGTGGAAGTGGAATGAGTAATTCCTGAGAAGAGCTACCCTTTAAAAATCAGAGCTGCCTCTTCCCACATGGGATAAGTCCCTGTGGATTCAGCCCATGTAGGATAATAAAATAAACACTAATTAATTCCTATTGAAGCTGGGTTTATTTCCTTCTTCAGGCCTCCACTTTTGGGCACTGGGATAATGCTGTGATCTGATGTGGTCTCTCTTTTGCCCTCTCCTGCCTGTTTGTTGTTCTGGATATCCCAGAGACCATGAACCAAAGCTGACAGATCCAACAAGTTGTAAATGGGTAGAAAAGCCCACGTAAGCAAACCCCAGCCCTTAACTGACTGGGATCCCACTGGTTCACAGTTCTGCTCCCAAAAGTGGAATTATGAGTCAGAGTGAAAATGAAGGTCACACAGATTGCTGTGTGCAGCAATTCTTGCAGGGAATATGGGCTCTATTTGCATAATTAGCTTGTTCTTGCTCAATAGTCTCCTAAACAGGACTGGATTCTGGATGTTCTTGCTGGCTTTTTCAGGTGTTATATGCTATTAAAACCCCCCAAAAGCAGGAGATAGTATTTAAAAATGCCTTTGTTTTTATTTCATTAATACATTTAAACTGAATTTCTTCTAACCCATCACAGCAACATCTCCAGTGGGCACTTTTGTGCCAACACCTTCAATCAATAAACTGGATTAATTGGCACAAAAAGATAGCATGGTGGCTGAGCATGGATTTTTTTAGAATGGAAAAAAAAAACCCACAAAATCAAAATCTCAAATATAAACATATTTACCCTTCTAAGCATAACCACCCTGCAGATAAGATACACAGACAGGGTAAATGAGACTTGAGTGGTAAATATTTGTAAGGATGGCACAGTCAGTAGAGAGAGTTCCAGACCATTTCCAGAACCTAAACCATCCCTAAAAGGTGTATTTTCACATCTATTTTTATATGTTTTCAGGTGTTACTTCCAAGAGAGAATAGAGACCTTTTAGGGATTTTTTTTCACACTGGATTGACTTTAGTGACCAGACAAATCAATAAAGATTATTACACTTGATTTTTCCTCATCTATCACCAAGAATAAGAGGATATAAGGAAGATGTATTTATATTATTCTGAGAAAATAGAAAAATACCCTTGGGAGGCCAAGAGTTTAAGTGAGGAACATCCTCACCATTCACCAGTTAAGAAGACTTGAAGCAGAGTGAAAGAATTAATATTATATTACAATCCCTGGAGGAGGTGAGGAATTTCTGAGGGACAAGTTGATCTGAAGGGCCACGGCCTAAGATGAAACCTCAGGTATCACATTGCTCTTGTAAGTTTAGTTACAAAGGATGCAGCATTGCTTCTCCCAGACACATTTTTGAGAGAAAACAGCCATAAGTATCCTCTGGAAAGCACAGTCCTGCCTTTAAGAGTGTGATCCAAGCATGCCCATGGGATGAGGTCCCTGAGGAGGATGGCAGCCAGGAAAACCAAGCACACCCCACCCTTGGGTGGAAGATAAGAGGAAAATTGCTCAGGCAGAGGCAGCTCTGTACTTGCAGGGGAGCACAGCTCAGCACTTTGGGCTGAGGAGTAATAGTAGAACACACCTTCTGTGGGCAGCACCTGAGGAAAAGGCATTTTAGGTGGCAAGCTGGAATAGAGTCACCTGTTTATTTGGAGTTCAGCGTAAATACAACCTCTGTTTCTGGCCGGCTCTCTCTTTATGGACTCACAAACTGCAATTTCCTTCAAGTCAGGCTACAAGTTGCCCTCCAAACAATCGCTGAAAAGTTTTTAGGCAATAAAACTGGAGGAGGTTTTATTGCAGGGGTGATTGGTAAGAGGAATCAGTGCCTAAAGAATAATTTTAAACTCAGGAAAAGAGGTGCTGGACTGAGATGCTGCCACACAGAGCAGGAATTGTTCTATCCATTTCTAAATCCTCTTCATCAGATTCCACCCAAAGCATCTTATCCAACTGCATCCCTAAATCTGGGACCTGAGGGAAGAACAAAAATATAGGAAAGAGCTTTTGCTCTACCTGGATACAGGAAACCACTTCCAGCAGCATCTCAGCACAAACTCCAGCAGCCAGGAGGATTCTGCAAAGCATCTCCCTAATTTCCTTGTCTCTTCCAGGTATTTCAGATGGCAAATATTGTCTTTCAGGGAATATTAAAGTTCTCACCTGACCCCTTGGACTTTGTAAACCATGTTAGAATTTAACCAAGGTAAACCAGCTCCACTGTGAATAACCTTTATTAAAAAGATAAAGAAATTATTATCAACACTGAGCAGCCTGCTGAGACAAATAGAAACAGAAATGTTTTAATTAAAACCAGATTGAAAAAAGAATCAATAATAATGACATTCAAATAAGCAGAATTCTAATTAAACAGTACAAGTGATCAGTTTAATTTATGAGACTGACACCACAAAGAACCCTTTTGATTCAGCCTTGTATCGATTTCACAGGATCAGCACAGCTTTCAAGTCTCACTGGTAAAAAAAAAAAGGAGGAATCCTTAATATTTATATTACTTTCAGCAGGACAGCAATTTTAAAATGTCTTTATGTAGCACCATGATATCCCTGCATTCATTTTAAGACAGTATTATCCCTTAAATAATTATATAATTTTTCTGCTTTTGGAAATAATTATGGATATCACCATAATAACCAGCCCTGCATTTGGGAACACTTAATTGCTGTAAGGACCAGTTAGCAGGGATTTCCAAACTACATTTTAAACACTTTTTAACAACTACTTTTTTAAACAGGACCCTTTTCAAAGACATCTGTCAGCCATTCTCATGGTCTATCCAGCGCAGTGTTATTTGTACCTGCACCTGCACACAAAAATATAACTAAAAAAGAAGAAACAGAGATGTTCTGGAAAAAAACAAAGGCAAAAATAAAAACTCCAAACTCCTTCTGCTTTGTTTGCTGGGCTTGATCTTGTTAGCCAGGAGAGGGGTGTTGGTGTCTGAAAATTGCAACACAGGTGAGCTGCTTTTAAATCTCCCACATCTTCCTCCTGTGGGTGATTTACCCACTGAAAGTTCTGGGTATGAAGGCAGAGGAGAGGAACCATGTGGCCTTTGCTTTTATGGGCAAATTATCTCTTTATTTGCAACTACAGGTTCTTGCCACAAAAACCTTTCTAGTTTTGGGTCAGTGAGGTGGGTACAGTACTACATGGGTTCTGACAGTCCCATAATGGAATATATTTGCTCTAAGTGGCATTAGGAAATGTCATTGAATCATAATTCCTTTTCAAAATCATCAGGATAAATCAGAGCTCCTTCTAAAACAGGCTATGACTTCAATCTAAAAATCATGACCAAGAACTTTATTCATAATTCTCTCATAAAACTAATTGTACTAAGTGACCAAGAGGTAAACTTTTAGATAAAATGAAATATATATATATATATATATAAAAGCAGGAGTACCTTAAATACCCTTGAAATCTGGACCTACTCCTCAGTGCTTTGTCTTCTCAGCCTGATTCAAAGCTGGTCTGCACCAGAAATCCAATCTGACAGCACAGTCAGCACTCAGTTAGAACTCAGACATGTATTTTTGCCTTCAGATACCACATATGCCATACAAACTGTGTTCACACTGGCTACTGTAGGTGTCAGCAGCCCCCAGCTGATCTGCCTGCCCATGCAATCCAGGAACAGAACCTGTTAGAACCCTTACCAGTCACAGCAAGGTGACCAGAAGCAATGGGGACACGCCTCAGAGGCCACCTTGTTCTTTGTACATCTATTTGATCTGTTCAAGAAAATTAAAAAAAAAAAAATCCCTCTGGCCTAATGCCTCCTGACTTCCTGCACTTCTCCTGCATTTTTTCACTGATCCACTGAGCCAAGAACACAAAGGAGACCTTAGTACTGAAAGAGGCTTGTTAGAAAGATGGACAGTCTTTATCAGGACTTGTAGGGACAACAGCTTTGAATTGACAGAGCGTGAGTGGAGATTGGATATTAGGAAGAAATTCTTTATTGTGAGGCACTGGAGCAGGTTTCCCAGGGATGCTGTGGATGTCTCATCCCTGGAACTGCTCAAGGCCAGGGACAAGGCTTGGAGCAACCTGGTCTGGTGGCAGGTGTCCCAGCCCATGGCAGGGGGTGGAGCAAGATGATCTTTAAGGTCCCTTCCAACCCAAACCATTCCAGGATTCTATGACTCGGAGAAGAATTTCCTTTCAAACTTCTTCCATAAGCAAGGAGCTGGCACTTCCAATAAAGTCAAACTGGTCAAGCTGATTCAAGAGCTACTTCTCCCCAAGTTTAAAAGCCCATCTCTGAATTCTGAGATTGAGAGCAGGAAAAAACAGAGATTCATGGTTGGAAACAAGGTAAAAATGTATCTTGAAGCCACTTTCCCATTTCATTCTTACTGAAATTAACTTTGCCCAGCTCCTGAGTTCCCATGCTTGAGGACATGCACAGGGATGTGTCCTGGCTTTTGGCAGCATTTGTGGGTGAAGGGATTCCATTGAAGAGTTGCCAGTTTCTATCCATGCAGATATGCTTCCAGCCAGTGCTCCCCAGAATCCTTCAGGGAACTGCAGGAGCAGAAGGGAAAAAATCACTTAGGAAGAGACAGAGTTCAGCTTTGTGGAAGGCTAACTGTAGTTAAAGAAATAAAAGGAAAAAAAATGGATTTTAAATTGCATGGACACCTCACAGCAAAGTCTGACTGCTGTCAATTAGCTGGGAAGATTTAAGGAAGAGAAAAACAAGCTTTGAAACTTTAAAACTTTAGAAAAGTCTAAATAAACTCTAGGTTTGATCTCTCCATGGACATTGATTTGAAATGGCTGCCTGGGTGTCTCTTACCTGCCATCACAGAGCAAAATCATCTTGGTAATTGATACTTACTGCAAAATATCTACAAAGGCTGTCAGCAAAGTCTTGCTTTTGTACTCAATGCCGTGCTTGTCACAGAGGCTTTTCACCAGGGGAGCCACTTTGCAGTAGTTGTGCCGAGGCATTGTCGGGAACAGGCTGCACAATGGGACGAGGGAGAGTTATTGCAAGGCTTGGCTTTCTCCCTCTTCAAAATAACCCCCTGCCCCAGATTATTCCCATTTTTTGCCCCAGGATGATACTCACTGATGCTCAATTTGGAAGTTCAGGTGCCCAGTGAACCAGTCATTGAACATAGACTGGTTCACGTTGCAGGTTGCGTGGAGCTGGGAGGGAAAAAAACCAAAACCCCCAGATTATTTCAATTTTATTTTCCTGCAAGTCCAACAATTGAACCCCCAGCAATCACTGCCCACCCTTATCTAGCATAAAAATCAAGACAAAGTCAGGGATTAAGCCATCATTGCCCTGAGGAATTAAACACAGTCTGGACTAACCAAGCTGAGTTTTTCATCCTTGATAAAACAGGAAACTGCTGCAAACCCACTATGTGGGATTATACTGCTGGAGGCAGGATAGATGTGAGCAAAGCTCTATTTGCATATTCTTTTGTATCAGGCAATTTTGTCAGATTTATCTGTAGTAAACTTGCAAGTTGTAGGGTAAAAATAAAGGTATTCCACATTGCTTCCCTTTACTTGGCTTAAAAAGGAAATTGGCTATTATACCACCAGTACTTTTCTATAATAGGAAGGGGAAAGGGCTGTGAAAAATATGTCAAGGCCTTTCAGTGAAAAAACAGGATTTTTCAAATCTAGATTTCTTGGTTTTCAAGTAAAATTTTAAATGGCTTGAATTATCACAGAAAGGTTTATCTAATGAATGGAAGGGCAAACCTCATTAACAGTAAATGTAAGAGAATAACAACATTGTTTTTCTTCTATAATTTAGACCAGCAGGCCCAGTATTCCAGAAGAAAGGAGTTTCTCACCTGAGTAGACACCCAGTCTTTGTTCTGGTCATAATCAATGTCCATTGGGATGTGGTTCATCTGGGACACCCAAATGAACCAGTTACTCTCAAGGTACCTGGGCAGATAAATCCAGAAACTCTTGTCATATCTCTAATCCCATCCAAATTTAACACTAAAACACTTGGCTAAGTCTCCTCTTAAGTGAAAAAGCACTTTTGGAGTTTCAGAACCACTCAAGTTTTAGATGCAGATGCCCCTGAGCAGCCACCACTCCCACTGAAGTTAAACTGTTTCTTCTGGACTATTTAATTCTGAGAAAATCGTAGGTTTAGTTTTCATTTCTTTCTTTTGAAGCTCAATATTGATTACAAATATTAATTATGGGACTTTGGGTGTGCTCTGAGTTACCTGGACAGCCAGTAGTATATCATGAAGGTTTTAAATCCCATTAAAGGAACATACATGAGGCAGACTCGGATATTGAAAATCACAACCAATATCAGGTCCTGAAAAAAAAAAACAAAAAAAAAACCCAAAAAACAACACCCAAACAAATCAGTATGAAAATCAGCCTTTGTTGATGAAATGCCTCCACCCCATCCTCTCCCTTTTTCTTGACCTGCAGCTTAAAAAATGTTCTGATATGCAAATTTCTGATTTATCAGGAGTATGCTCCACTCTGTATAAGGTGGGTGTGTCCCTGAAATATTCCTACTTAACCAACAATAACTGCAGACAACAGCTCTGCCATCACACTCTGGGTCTGGGAATTTCCTGGTAACTTTTATTTATCTGCTAAAAGGCTAAAAAGCCTCTTTGAAACTATTTTCTCTTGCTGCAGCAAGCCTAGAATCATCCTTCTCTATCCTTTTTCTCTCTTACCCCCCAACCACCTGACCAATAGGAGGTAAAGGAGGATACAGTGACATTTTTGGAGTTTTCCAGACAGGGAAGTAGTGCTTACCAACCACTTTTTCCTCTTGATTGCAAAGTAAATTGTTGACAGCTGGAAGAAGGGTATGATGGCGAGTGGGGCCAGCACTGAAGGACAGAACAGAAAAAGAGAGATACTTTAGTTTCACTGCATCATAAAAATGATTCTTCTTTCCAGTGGCAGAAAAATTGCTGTCTTTCACTCATATTAACCTCCACCCACCCACATAATCTCTTCCTCTTTTCTTCTCATCACTTCACAATTTCTTCCTCATTCCTGTATCTGTTTGATACACCCCCATCTACATCTCATAACCCAAACAGAGACTTAAGGGGCAATTCCTCCACAGGGGAACTTCTTTAACGTGAAGAAAGCTTTCTGGAGCTTTCACTTCAATAGGAATATCTTTAAAAACTCTTATTTTGTGGGGGAGAAGATGCACTCATGGTTTTAGGGGATACTCACAAATGAAATACTTGTGCTGGTAATTGTAAGGCATGAACTTCTTCTTCTGCTTTCCAAGCTGAAAAATGAAAAGATACTGAAATATTCACAAAAAGCACAATTAAGTTTATTTCTTCGCCTTGTAATTTTTCACCAATTGCACAAAAGTTTCTTAATATCACCCCAAACTTTTGTGAATATAATTCTTCAAAAGACAAAATAATAAGGAGCTAAAGCAAACTACTTCCAGAGCTCCAGTCTGCACTGGATCAACACTGAAGCAAATAAACTGGATAAAACAAAACCCCTGAAATCCACTTTGCCTATCCATAGTGTGCCTAACACTGATCCTGCTAAAGAGCAGGAAGACATGAGAACTGATTTCCTACATTTTCACTCCATCAAACCCACTGGAGCAGAGTCAGCCTGCTCTGGATGCTCATGCTCCTACATAAGAGATCTTTTCCAAAATCCCTGACAAAATCCTTCCCGAGTGGAGCCAATGGTTTTCTATCAATAAGCATTTTGTATCTCCCTCTGCAGGAATCTGTCTGGGACACAGAGCTGGAATTTTCCATGTGCCTTGGAGAATTTCTTCAGCAGGAATAAGAGATAGAGGCATTACTTTAAAAGGCTGGTGTATCTCGCAACGAGGCCGTTTCATCACTCTGTGAGTAAAAGGAATTACAAGGAAAAGGCAAACGAGCCCTTGCCCATCCTGATGCTCTCAGAAACCATAATGGAAGCAGGGAGGATCTATTCATAGTTCCTCTTTTTACGAGAGCCATAAAATTCAGGATTAGGAAATCATTCGCTGTGTTCGCGTTCGGTGCGCGGCAGCTCCTCCGGCGCTGAAGGATTTGGGTGCCCAACAGCTCTGGCAGCCAGGAGGATCCAGAGGGAACATCTGACTCACTACCACTCTCTAATGCAAGTGGGCTGATTCACCCCTGGAGCTGCCTTCAAGGTGCTTGCCCTTACTTAAGCACTGATTTTAAGCCTTTGCTTCTCAGGAGCGGGTGCCTCAGCATTGCAATAACACGAGGCTCTCAGATCTTGGAACGCTTCGGGAATTATCATAAAATCCTAGAATAGTCTGGGTTGGAAGGGACCTTAAAAACCACAAGGCTCAATCTATTATATATTAGATACATATCACACTCTAGCTTTCTATCACTAAATCTGCTTTCGCAGACCTCCATGGAGAGGGTCTTTCCCAGGCTGAAGAGCAGAGGGTGCATGTTGAGGTCGGGGTCCTTGCGGAAGCAGTTGGGCTTGGCGTGGTGCTGGTTGTGCAGGTGGTTCCACCAGCTGGCAGGCAGCCCCTGCGTGGGGAAAAGGGCAACACCAGGGATTCAAACTGGAGCAATATCAAGGATCCCATCTCTGTTTACTACAATTCCCTCACAGGAGACCTTGCCTGGATTTAGGGACACTCCCATCCATTGCTTAGTCCCGATCAACCCCAGAGAACATTCCCACCACTACCTTCAGCATGTTTATCACCACAATCTGCAGGAGATGATTCCACCTGGGTTTCCTGAAGACAGAGCAGTGCCCCAGATCGTGCTGGAACCAGCCCATCTGGATCTGGGAGACAAAAGGATCACTGAGGAAAGAGAACTGCTTCAATGCAATAATTTCCCTTGTGAGTCTCTGTAACTTCATAGTGTGAATTTCATCCTCCTCCTGATGTGTCAAGAGACACTCACAGGGCTGGGAACTTCCAGGCTACTGTCCACTAGAGCTGCTCAATTCCAGATATTAGTTTCATCAGGAATATTACAGGGAAAGCAGCAAAGCATCACTGCAATTAACTTCACTGTCACAGCATGGAATTCTGTTGCTACCATCACGAATAATTAATTTCAAAGTAACCAGCCACAGCAAGTCTGTGGCTTCACTGCATTCCATATTTCCATGGAAATACAAGACTGCTCTTTGAGGGATATCTGCCTTAGCAGATATTAGGCAATTAAAACAGATTAATTAAATAAATTAGCTCATTTGCACCTGCTCCAGGGGGATCTGAGCAAACTTAAGCATTCAGTGTTAATAAGAAAATTGTGTTCTTCCCTCTGCCACACCCTTCAATTTCTCCCACCTTAGTGCCAAAAATCCCTATTCCCTCCTTCCCTACACCCACACTGAAATGGATCCTTTGCTCATATGGCTGAATTTACTAATCCAGCAGAAAACTATTCAGGGCTAGAGGATACTCATAAAGGACAAAAAAAAAAACAGAGCCATCTGACAGAAGCAACAGAGAGCCAAAAGTGCAGGTGAGAATGAAATATTCCTTCATTTTGCTGGAGTAAGTGATTAAATTAGCTCATCCCATCTTGTGAAAGAGCCAGTTCCACAAGAACACCACAAGAACCCCACCCCCAGAGGGAGCAGCCTGTCAGCAAAATGAGATCAGCTGCAGGCAACAAAAATTGTGACGTAGAACGTGCTTGTCATCTTCAGCCAGATAATGGGATCTAAGGAGAGGCAATGCCTGGGATGGGAGCAATCCTCTCCACCTGGAAGAGCCAAGGGCGTCTGCAGCATGGAGCAGCCGTCAGCAGTTTACCTGGGCAGTGGTGAAGAATGCCATGCCAGCCAGGAAAGGCACCAGGGATACACCAAAGTACCAGAGCACGAGCCAGGATGCAGCATCCAGCACCAGGAGGTGAAGGAAGACCAGGAAGAAGAAGAAGTAATTGGGCCTCAGAAGTCCCATCTTCTCAATGGTGCAGCGCAGCTCACGAAAATCCTCCAAGAGGGATTTCTGTGGGTAAAGTGAATATTAATGCACTATTTACTTTGAAAATGTCATAGAGCAGAGCCAGGAACCCCAAAACAGCCGCAGAAGTTGGAGGAGATGTTCTGTCAGTAGGGGCTCTGTGCCAAAACAAGCATGAAGTCAACAGACTTTGCTTTGATTCTGAGACATCCCAGCAAGGAGAACAGAGCAGGATTTGGGGCTAGGGAGCTCATTCCTTGCTCCCAGGGGTGGATTTGGTGATGCTGGGACAGTCATGTTTCCATGCCTGCCCATCACCACCTCCTGCCCACCCACAGCATCAGGCGTGCTCCCTCAGAGGCCATTCCTGCTACCTCTCCTGTTTTTCCTTCTCCTTCCATGCTGAACCCCGAGCCATTCCCACGGCTGGAATCTAGGGCACTCACCTTTTTATTAGACTCAAAGCTGGGTTGATCTGGTGCCAGCTCCCCAATCAGCAGAGATTTCAGGTACTTCCTCACCAGGGACTTGTCATTGTGGAATGCCACAAAAGCATCCTGAGGAACACAAAGGGAGGGAGTGAGAGAGGGCACATGAGTGAACACCAGAGCTGAGCCTCTCATTCCCCAAGTCTGGATTATAACACAAAATCCTGCTCCCCTTGTCCATTTTTGTCTCTCCTGTCACTCTTTCCCATTGACTGGAGCTTGGCCCAAGGAAGCTGGAGGAGTTTCAAGCGCCCAGATTTCATAAAAGCCCCTGGGCGAGGCTGGTAATAAACATGAAAGGGTTTGATGAAAAACCTTTTGCAGAGGGAAACCTGTTCCTTCTTCTGCTTGTTTCAGCACAGTCTGTCCCTAGAAGGCTCCAGCCAGCAGCCCTGCCCTATGGATGGGACCCAGAAGCAGGGAATGAGGTGTGTCTCTGCCATGCTTGGGATGAGGCTTTGAAATCCTGTCTGTGCAACACTAAGGCCATACAAAATAGATGCTGAAGCCTCTTATTCAGCAGCATAAACTGGGTGTCTCTTACAGTTCCCTCCCAATTTCCAGAACACGTTGATGTTTTGGGGATGTGGGAGCACTAAGGACACAAAAGTGCTTGTCCAAGAACCATTTCAAATCACAGTTTCAAATCAAATATAAACAATGGAAAAAGGTTGAGATTCCAGATAAATCAAAACTCTTCTTTAGCTCATGTCCTCAATGGATTTTCCAGAAGAAAGGTAAAGAGGCTGGCCATACCCTTTTTTCTTCCAGAAAGAGCAGATAGAACAAAATCCTCATTTTGAACAGTCTGGTTTTGCTGATTTTGGCTCTGAAAATCAGCAGGGATGAACACAACCCAAATATTCTGCACAGGTCTGGTCAGGGTCAAATCCCTGGAAGAGGACAGAGGACTTCCTTGGAGCCTCTTGGCTGGAGACAGTCTTTCTCTGAGTAATGTTGTCTAGAAAAAGTCAGAACAGGGTGACTTTTTGGACATTTGAGCTTTTCTACAGACATCTAGTGGCCCTTTGTCACAGTGATAAATGAACAACTCTGTCCAGACCAAAAAACTGGGGAAATCTTTCCGTCGTGATTCTGTGCCCCTCATCCTCCAGGTCTTTACACATTTTTATATCTGTTCATCTTGCCAGGAATTCTGACTTAATCCATAAGTACCTATACTGCAGTTTGGAAACAGGAACCAGAATCCTTTCAAGCAGAGACTCCCATCCATGAGATCAGTATCACAGATTCTTATCACTGAAAGCCTCTCAGTCCTGCCTGTTTTTATTCCTCCCTGGTCTTGGGCCCTGATTAGCATCCTACTAACTTATTAAGTTTAGAGATTAACTTTAAGAACGATCACCTGCAACGCACATAACTCACAACATTTGATATCAATTAAATGCTCTGCAATGATCTTGCCTTGTATTTTCAAAATAAACCCCACAGAGGAAGTAAATTCTCACTGTGTATAGATTATTATGAGCTCTAGAGCATTCAAGGGTTGTTGGGGGGAAAAAAAAAATCCTGGATCCTGATTTTAGGTAAAGTCCTGCACCAGTAATTTTTTGAGACACCTTCCAGTCCTGCTTTTCTATGTGGATTTCTTAGAATATATGAACAAGCAGCACTTTAAAAGCAAAAAAAAAAAATTATTAGGATTAGCAAGGGCAAGACTCAAAGTGTTGTTAGGATGCAAAACAAATCCACATTGAACCCACAATTTTGGCTACTTGTTGTGGTCCTGTCTTCAAAGGGATATACTACACCTAGAGGTTTGAAAATACCTTTAAGATCAAGTAAAATCAGATTGTAAACATTGCTACAATAAAAGCAAGTAAGATCAAAGGTCATTTTTTAAACCCATTCACTGCGGTTAAAGCCCCTGGGTGTCTATAAATACAATGATGTAAACTGCAGGTCCTTGCAGGAGCTGGGAGCACATAGCTTGGGGACAAATTATTCCATGCATTCTGCATTCCTTGACTCTTTCTGTAGAAGTCCAGTGGCAGAAAGTGCATGAGATAGCACCAGGATCTCTGGGCTGGCCTGTGCTCTGGAGGTCAGTGAACTTGGGAGAAACCAAACAAGACTCAAACTTCTCCTCTGCTTCCTCTGAGATCACCAGGTATTTTTCTGCCCAGGTAATTTTCAAGCAGGGTACAAGGGATGAAATGTGAAAAGTAACTGATCTGGTCCATTTTGGGCCAGGAGTTAGAAGTGCTATCCCATTCCACATGCTGAAACCTGAGGAATTAAGACAGGCTAAGCAACTTTCTTAAAGTCAGAAAGTCTTGTCGTGACAAGAATGAAATCTCTCACATCACAAGTTTATGCCCATGTTTCCAATGCTCAGGTTTCTGCCTAGTCAGAAATTCAGTATCTCCTTTCAGCATATTTCTCCCAGATCTGCTTAGAATTTATTATTCCTGCAAAAAGCACCAAATTATTTTAGATAAATCCTCTAGATCAAAGATTTTTGCAGGAATCCCTGGAAGATCTGTGATCAAATATATTTGTAGGACTTTTCCTTATGTCCTGCAGCCCAAGGTCATCATGCTGCTTTCTCAGTCTGCTCTCTGACCAAGCACAGGATTCCCCACCACGTCCTCCTTCCCTGCCACTGGAACCACCTTCCTCTGCTGCTTTCCCAGCTCTTACCGTGGCATCCTGCCCAGCATAGTGGCTGATAACCCGGCTGCCCCCGGGATGTCTCTTGGAAAACTGGCTGACATCATAAACCTTCCTGTCAACCACCAGCCACTGCTCCTGGCCTTGCCCGCGGCCGTTGTGGGTCCCGATCTCTTCCCAAGTGAAAAGCCGTGGAAAGGCTGGAACAGGTCCCGTCCCCTTCTCGCTGGGGCCAGTCTGTGGAGCCATCCGCGCTGGGATTCTCCAGCGCCAGCTCCGTGGCCAGGCTGAGGGTGGCCCATCCTGGCCTGCCCGTTATACAGCCCCACTCCAAGCCACTCCCTGCGCTTCCAAGGGCTGGTTGGCTCTCCTCACCCAAACACACCCATCCCAAGTTCCCTCCTCTTCCAGACGCTTGGACACGCCTGTGAGGAAAAGCCCTCCTTCTTGTCCTTCTGAGCTGCCTTTGCAAGGTCTGACTGCTCCACTAAACAAAAACAGGAACAAAGACAACCTGTGAGGAAAAGCCCTGCTCCTTCTTGTCCTTCTGAGCTGCCTTTGCAAGGTCTGACTGCTCCACTAAACAAAAACAGGAACAAAGACAGAAGTTTGAGAAGACCACCTGTTAACTCTAAATAGCCTCATCACCACCCAAACCCTTCAGGTTGTTGGTCTTTGAAATTTTCTTGACTCTGACATGCTAAATTAATGTGCCTTTCTTAACTAAATAATTTATTAAAATACCACCAGATCAGAGTAAAGAAAGAGCACATTAAGAAAGCATTCTTTATTTCCAGTTAATTTGGCTTCTGTATTGATAATACTTTGCATACAGTTGGTTCCAGAGTTTCTTGTATCTTCCCGAGGCCATGCAACCACCTAATTGTTCAAGTAATTCATTCATCAGTCTGTAACACTAAAACAGTTTGTTGTAATAGCAGTAGTAATAATAGTGATAATAATAGTGATAATAACAAAACAACAACAATAATAACGATAATTATGACAACGACGACAACAACAAAACAACAACAACAACAATAATAATAATAATAATAATAATAATTATTATTATTATTATTAACACCAACCTTGGCTATAAATTCAGAAACCTATGCTTAAAGGCAATGCTGACATAACTAACTTTACTTAAGCACTACTCCTGCAGAAACCAAGTCTAAGCATCTCTGATATTGTGAAGGTCTGCCGTGCAATAAAGAGGTAAAGAGTTCTCAGCTGCAATAAAATACAGTGACAAGGCAATGCCAAGTTTCCTATGAACTCACATCAATTTTGCAGAAAAATTTAAGCAATATAAATCAAATATTCCCCTACTTGAGATCTAGCAGTGTCTTAATCCTGGTTGGTTGTTTTTTTTAATCAAAAATTCCAAGCCTTGGAAAATTCCAGGCAGACGTGGTACAGTCTGGGGTGGTAGAGGTGGGGTATTTCCATACTTACTCCTCTGTAATGCAATATTGAGTTAAATTCTGACTTTTCCCCCTTGCCCCAAATGTTCTATTTATGTTTCTGAATTTCTTAGGTCTGTAACCCCAGATGTGGCCTGCAGTGATGCCCAGTCCCTGCCTGAAGCCGGGCAGCTGAAGGTCTCAGCTATCTCTCATGACAATGAGCTTCCCATACAATTCACATACTGGGATTCCAAGAAAACTGCTTGTTGTATGAGTTCCCAGTTCTGAGAAGGACTGAAAACACACAGATAAAACTGCAGACTTTAGGCAGGACAGGAAGATAAGGAAAGATAAAGGCAGATAAAAAAGCCAAACTACTTTCTTGACCAAGGCACCTCAGCAGAGTGAGGCGTTTTCCCTGTCTCCCAAGCACAGAGTGGGCAGTTTTCTGGCTGACACAGAACTCCAAATTATGCAATTCTAATTCTTCAAATCATGTAGCATCTTGCAAATTAATCAGTCAAGCCCCAAACTGCCATTTAAAAGTGCCTGACATGTGGCAATTGGTGAACCACCCAAAGTAAGAGAAATGTGGCTGCTGCTATTACCAGACAGCGATAAAAGAATGGGAGGAATAATTTCTACCCTGCTGTCATATTGTATTTTGTAACTCTTTATCTTGCTCTAAATAAAAGCTGAGAGTGTCCATGCTAATGATGTGTTCAGGATCTATGTACATATGCAGTCTTACCTAAATCAATGTTCAGTACTTGAGGTGGTGGCAATAAAATATGCAACACTTTGCGCAATTTCCTGCAGATGTGGAGTTTTGTGCACATGTGAAAATATCAAGTTACTCCATAGCTGGCTGAAAGTACAAAAAACCCTTCCCATGGCCCTATATTCAGACTTGTACATGTAGCAGCTTCTTGAAAAGGAGGAGATAAAAAGATAAAAATGTTGGGTTTGGTTTCGGTCTATGAGGAGATGCAGGATAAAGAGCCAGGAATTTATTGGAGTGAACAAATATGGGATGTCTCTGTCTATACACACAATCAGCAGCTATGACTTTCATTGTTAACACTGTGGGTGCCAGCATCCACCAAACTGGTGGAATTAAATTTGGGAACTCTTAAGATGATTGTCCTCTGTATTAACAGTGTGTATAAATATTTATTGTCCGAATTTATTTAGCATCAGATCCCATCCAGAGGGGCCTGTAACGCCCACTGATATTCTGTTAAATTAAAATCCCTTCCCAATGTGAAAGCAGAAGCTGTCTTTGTCTATATTATCCAGGTTACCAAAATGATTCCAAAAGCTCAGACAGTGAAAGGCATGGTCCTACTCACCCAGAAAAACTATTGAGAAACCTGTTAAAGTGAATTTACACCACACTCGGTGTTCTGCAACCACTGCCCACACACGTGCCAAAAAGCGTGTCCTGCGCTCCCGGGAGCTGGTACACGTGCACAGGGCTGCTCCCGTGACTCAGAGGCTCCTTGCACAGCTCTTGACACACTTTCCCAGATTTCCAGACGGGCACTCACTACGCGAGTGCTCAGCTGCCAGTTGCTGCCTCAGCCCTTTTATCATCTGTCACGTAAATGTTTACAGCTTACACTTAATCCACTGGAGATAAATGCTCCAAAAATAAATCTGGTACTGAGATACCCCAGAACACTTGGAAGTGGTTGACGATCTTAGAGGTTTTCCCAGCATTAATGATTCTTGTTTCTAAGAAAATCTTCTTCTCCAGAGAGGATCTTTAGGTTCTGAGTAATACTGTCTTACTTTTTTACAGGGTTTTCATGGAGTCTTGCGAGGGGGAGCATCTCCCAAGTGGGGCTTGGGCTGGGCAAAACTGCGTGCAGAATCTCTATTTTATGAAGTGTAAGCCTCACCAGAGTTGTTAAATAGAAGATAGACAGTTTTGGGTTGAACAGGTTTCCAGGATTAGGTGTCAACAGTGGAAAAAGCTGGAAAAGTTTGACCTTGGATGAGCATCTACAAGTACACCTGCACTTCTCTCTGGAAGCAGAGCTGAACCCTGTCCTGGCTGCTCTGGAGCCATGGAACAGCATCTTGGATCAAAGCAGAGATATCTGAAATGTCTCTGCATCAGGAGCAGGTACCACCTAATTTATATAACATAACTATACGTTGAAGGGTTTGTCCTCAAGGGACTCTGGAATGGAGATCACAGGATTATTTTTGGAGGGTTCAGGAATGCTGTGCCCTACAATGGCTCCAAGGAAATTACCTGCATCCATACACAGTCAGCACACACATTCCTGTGCAGAGTCTGCTTTTCTTGCTGGATTTCATGGACTCTCCTTCAAGACTCCTCTTCTGTGACCATGATGTGCCTCTTCCCAAACACAGCCAGGAAACAAAAATAATTATTTTATCTTCAGCACAAAATTTAATGAGGAATCCATAATTTAGGAAAAGGCTGCATTCAAAAAGATCTTTGCAATCTTTTCAAGTGATAAAAAACTTTTGCAGTTGGCAAAATTTTGTTTTGGAAAGGAAAAAGAATCCAGTAATCTTCTGCTTTTAATAAAAACATTATAAGGCACCATGTCAGTCGGGACAAGAAAAGGACCAGGTTTTCCCTTTTTTAGTATATTCTGGGTTGATGAAATACCACCCTGCATCTCAGATGGAGCTACTTACCAGGAATACCATGTCCCATGAAATGGAAAGAGAAACCTAAAGCAAAACCAAGGGGTTTTTTTCATAGACAGAGTCAAGTTTGTAATGGACACCCTGCCTTGAGGGGTTTCATTTGCTCAGATATTTAAAAATTTTATTAATTTTGTTTCATTCCTTAGTCCAGATATCAATAGGGTTTTTTTCCCTGTGAAAACCATCTTCACACCCTTTGCAAAAGAGGAAAAAAAAACACCTGGGAAAGCCACACCTTCCCTCCCAGCTTTTGGTTGCATTTTATGAGTAAACAATAAAACCCCGAGATGTTAATTAGAATGAGGGCTAAAATTAGGATCTGTAATAAGCCCTGTGAACCTTCTCATCTGAATCTCCCCACAGAACAATAAATTGCATTAGAACACATATTATATAATTTTTTTTTTGCAATTCTTATGTAATAAACCCTTTGCACCCTTCAGCTTCATGAAAGTCAGAATCCCAGGGGCTCTTTTGTGGCTTTAAGATCTAAATTAAGCTGATCTAAAGTTACAAATTCTGTAATTCTCCTCTCCCAAGTGCTCTATATTGGTACACACAAGACATAACATAATCCAAGTCAAAATTGTTAAATGCCTGTAACAAACCCATTTTGTTTTCTCACTGTTGCGTGTTTGGGGTTGGCTTTTTTTCAGACCAAGCAACATTTTTCTTGCATTTTCTGTGCCCAGGGCAGGGTACCCACTGCTCACAAACTGCTGAATGCTGTGGATGCCTGAAACTGGGCATCCACAGAAGAGAAACTCCACAAAAGGTGCCCATGCTCGAAAGTTTAAGACTTGGTTTTGCAACCTTAATTAGGAACAAAGTGGCCTAAGTCAGGATTAAAACACCCACGGTGTTTCCATGGCCTAGACTCAGAGCACCTTCCTCTGTCTGGCCTTCCTGTGGGCTTTGGGCCGCCTTCCAGCCTCTGCAATAAACGTGGCACAGCCAATATTTGGCCATAATTCCTTCCCTGGCCTTCACCTTTTGCCTCTGTCCTTCCTCAGCCACATACTTTGGGGTATATTCTTAGGGCAACGTAAATATTTTGCCTCAGAGATGTCCCTCATCCTTAAACTTCTACATCCTACCCTGCCCGCAAGGGCACCACTCATAGTTTGCATATTTTGTTACTTCTTTTGCAAAATTTAATTTTCCTTTGACACTTTAGCAATTACCAGATTGCTGGAGTTACTACAAGTAGCAACTCCTACTTGTAATTCCATGACCTTTTCACTATTCTTTCTATTCCCAATCTGCCTCACAGGTTGTCCCTCATCCCTCAAAAATGCCCTCTTGAGTTTGTTTCTCCCCTCTTTGCTAGGGATCTAAGTCTCATAATTTTATACTTACTCCTTTATTTTGCCAACTTTGGAATATTTGCTGAAGACAGAAATACCTGTGGCTTTCTAGTCTCACATGTTTCTGATCTTCCTCTATGGATGAGGGGAGAAGAGGGAACAAAACAAAGAAAATGTCAAAACCTGAGCTCATTGCAATCTCCGCTCACCTTTTATTTTACTTGGGCAACACCCAGCATTTCTTACCTCACCTTGTTTCTTTTTCCTAACCGACTGGGAGATGATCCTGGAAAGGAATTCAGGTTCACTTGTTAGAACATTGGCACCCCTTCTTGCCAGAAGAAGTTATCATTCTATCTTGGTCTGCAGCTAAATGATGGGTTAGTGCTCATCTGAAAAGGTCTATTATGCAGGAGGTGACCTAATTAGGATAATACTGCCCACAGGCCTGCCCTGATCTCTTCCTGAGTCAAAGCAAACACTATACAAGGAATTACCACCCATAAAATCGAGTTGTTCTTGAATTTTTATATTACCCTTAGAGGACAATCTATCACTGCTCCTGCTAATTGGACTAATTAACCTTGGTACTAAGAATTTGCGCTTACACTGTATCTTGAACTGGTATTGATTCACACTTCAGCTGCTGAATATTTCACTATTACTGACAGATTGAAGTATTCTCTGCTCTAAAACTTCTCATTTTATGATCAGGTCACTGCCTCTTCTTTTATTTGGCTCAGGGGACGCTGACAGTTTTATTCTCTCACCAAAAAAAAAATCACCAGACTGGCAAGAGCCTAAATGATGAGCTGCAAAAATCAAAAAGCCAGGGTGATTCTTGGGAGCAAAGCCAAGGGAGATTACTGTGGATCAATCAGACCTTTGGAAATTTTGCCTAAGGGGCACCATCATAACCAGCATTTCATATAAGCTGTCATGGGTGTATCAATACTTGTTGCTGTTTCAAAACTATTCTTAGTGGAAATTCCTCCCCATCTTCTGAACATTTAATACCAGTCCCTGCAGGAGATGCAAATCCCAGAAAAATCTCTTCCAGTGTAATCCCCTTCCTTTCCCACCCATGAGCAGTGTTGCATTACTGCACTTGTCCTCTACACCTGACCTGTTAGGAAATGTCTTTATAATCCTTGTAAAAGAACCTTGGGAAGCAGCAAATCCTCCCGTTTACGAGCAACTCGGCTGCTGTTCATCATCCATCCTGTGGGATCTACAATCAGCTTGATTTCCTCTACTTTTCTAAATGTGGGGAAAATCCCACAAAGAAAACCATTCCTCTCTTCAGCAATTTGGGATAAAATGGATGCAAACACATCCACAAATTGGGCAAGGACTGCAAATCCACACCATTAACAAGTCCAGATGGGTGGGTGTTGGCAAGGGGAAAACTACAGCATTTTCCTCTTTCAGTTGCCCCATCACCCTTTACTATGAACATCACCCTGACATTATTATAATTCCTGATGCTCCATTGCTGAAGATGCTCCTCCCTGATTTGGAAAAGTGATTTATTCCAGCTTGCAGACACCTCTTTGTCCAATGACATTCCACTTAACTGGATAATCTTCAAAGCCTTATGAGCCTCTGACATCTTCAGGAACAATATCCTCTTCTCCCTGCCATGAGCAGGGACACCTTCCACTATCTCAGATTGCTCCAAGCACAGTCCAACCCAGCCTTGGACACTTCCAGGGATAGGCACAGCTTCCCTGGGCAACCTGTGCTGGGGCCCCACCACCCTCACAGGGAAGAATTCCTTCCCACTACCCACCTACACCTCTCTTCTTTCAGTTTGAAGCCATTCCCCTTTGTTGTGTCACTCTATGCCCTTGCCAGGTCTCTTTCATGATCTGATCCTATCCTTCTGATCCTCTGAGATCTCCTCCTCCCCTTCTGATGTCCGACTGCCACCCTGTGGCTATTCCACAATGTTCAGGTTCCATTTTTAAGGCCAAAAGGTTTCCACTAGATGGCAAAGTTGGGGCCGGCGTTCTTCCTAGATCGTGTAATTCAGTGTATTTCCTGAGCCTGGAAAACTCTCTGGAGAACTCTTCTCGAACCTGAAAACTTCCAGGAAACTCAGCACATTCATGTCTGGTTTTGCTGAGTCAGGTCCCCATTCACTCTTACGCTTCAGGATTGTGAATCTGCTCATCTGAGTTATTCTTCCTGGTTCTCCAGGCATTTGGTTTATTGCATGGTGGATGTTCCCTCTTTATGTGGCAGGGAAAACACAGGAGAAGCACGTTCTGAAGAAAGACGTTTATGACAGTTCTCTCTCTGTAGCTGTGGACAGCCATTTGTTCCACCTTTTACAGAGTGAAGACTCTTGCACAGATGTATTTTACTCCGATGACAGTAAAATTGGTAAGACAAGGAACTTTTATTAATAGACTTTCCTCCATCCACAGTTGTAACACGAGGGAAAGAAATGGAGCAGGAACAAACCAAAGTAAAACAGTAACTATGCCCCACTTCCTTTATGGTCTTAATCAACAGGTATTTGATTGTATGATGTATTGTTATTATATAACAACATATTATTATATTATAACAATAACAATATTATAGATATTATATAGGTATGATTGTATTAATATTCCCATTACAATTTTATCCTGTGCTTAACAACACTCTTGGCCTGAGAAGATCTATTTCCTCTATTCTATCAAGACCTCATCCTCATTTTGATGTTGATTGGGAAAAATTCTTCGAAGTCAACCCATCCCTCCTAGATTCTAATCACCAGTCCCTGGGGGACCAGGGTGATGGAGCATCTTCCTCAGTGATGTGGCAGGTGCTACATCCTGGTTTTGTTGGGGCAGTAAATTAAAAGGCCACACAAAAGGCAGTAAGATTATTCAGTAAATCCCACAGGACTGGGGGTGTGTTTGGAAGGCACATCATCCAAGACAGGGAGATCAGCAATGTTTTGGCTGAGGTATGCCTGTGGATATGCAGCTGAATGAAAAGTTAAACACTTTTAAACAGCAGCCTGACCCCCACCACCTTTCTAACTGCCTTAGATTTGCCTGCTGCTCAGGCAAGAATGCCTCACTCTCCATGGACAGGAGGCAGGAATTCTCTCCTTTTAACAAATCACCCAGAGGTCCAAAAAAGCCCAAAGCTTCAGGCTATCACAGAGTGATTATGATCACCCTTCACACAGAATCATTGTAGAATGGTTTGAGTTGGAAGGGACCTTTAAGCTCAGCCCATTCCATCCCCTGCCATGGTTTATTGTATTCCACTAAACCAGGCTGCTCCAAGCCTTGTCCAGCCTGGTCTGGAATGCTTCTGCTTCCTTAGTCACGCTTGTAGGTATGGATAGGACAGGCTTCTCTCCCTTCTGACTCAGTAATGGCTTCATAACACTCCAAAGTCTGGCATGAGGAAACCCCTTGCAGATCTCCCTGGAATGCCACCAGTGGCCAAATAACCCAGAGGTTTCCAGAGATGTGGAGGGCATCATTTCCACAGAATATGAGACATGGAAAAACTTCCACTTTCCTGTTTCCCTACCTCAATTAGGGTTCTAACTAGATCCTGTTCCTAGAGAACTGCTGCCTGCACTTCCCTACCCACCCACATATGTATAAATTGGTCTGGGAACTCCCTATTACAAACAGGAATTTGAAAATACTGAACATACCCCATTCCCTAGAGCTTCCACATTTCCCTAACTCCCACATTCCCTAATTTCATGCTGTCCCAACTTTCTTACTACACTCACAATGAGAGCCACCCCAAAAAGCCTATGTTAGATAAGAAGCTTCCCTCCTATATACTCAGCAAATGAAGGATCAGCAGATGGAAAGGAATCTCTTCCCGGTCCCAAAGTTGCACCCAGCTCGGTGGGACACAACCTCCTTCATCCAGCTTTTCCCCAGAACTCAGCACCAGAGAAGAGGAATGAAAGAAGCACAAGAAAAAATTAAGAGCACATATTACAAAAACAAAACAAAAAAAAAAAAAAAAAACCCAACTAAAAAAAGGAAAAATCGTATTAATTACATTCATCCATGGAATTAAGCAGCACCACCTCCCCAAATCTGGCTTAGCCAGCTCTCCTCAGTGCAGGATCTTCAGGGTGACCACCACAGGAGGCAGCAAGGCTGAGGAATTCCTCTGCAGGGATCCACTGCTGCTTACGTATGTAGATAAGCATCGAGCCAGAGCTCCCCTGAATCTTTCAAAGAGCTGCCAAGAGAGAAACAAGGCAATGAACCCCATGTTCCATCCAGAGCTTTGTGGGGAGAATTCTACAGACAGAGCAAAGATCATGAAGTGATTTGGGTCAGAAGAGACCTTTAGAGGCTGCCCCTCCCTGTCCATGTCCCTCCCCTTCTCACTGACTTGGGAACACGGCGGGTCAATACTCACTGCACGATGTCTGCAAAGGCTGTGAGCAGAGGCTTGCACTGGTACTCAATGCCATGCTTGGCACACAGGGACTTCACCAGAGGGGCCACCTTCCAGTAGTTGTGCCGTGGCATTGTAGGGAAAAGGCTGTGGGAAAAGGAGGTGCTGATTCAATGGCATCCCTCACCACCACAGGGAATCCTGGCCCCGCTGCTGTGCCTAATTCTGGAAGTGCCCGAGCTCCCCTTGTGCTAGCCATGGATCCTCTGCCCTCTCATGTCCCTTCAGTGCCTGTGCTGGGAATTCTCCCCCACTGCCATGCAGCTTAGATCTGAAGTGTGCTGGTGCTCCAGAAATTTTCTTTTTGGAGTTCCTGTTCTGCCCCCACACAAAGAGCACAAAATGAACCCACATTATCTTTTGTTCCTGTCTCAGCTGACAGAGGGACCTTGGAGGCTCTTCAGCCCTGGTATATCTAGCACTCCTTGGAACTATTCCCAAGCCCTGTTTCCACTCACTGGTGCTCGATCTGGAAGTTCAGGTGGCCACTGAACCAGTCATTGAACAAGGACTGATGAACATTGCAGGTTGCCTGGAGCTGAAAGAAAAAAAAGAAGTCCTGTTTTAAGTATTATTTTAGCAATGCCCCATCTCAAACACAGGTTTCTCATCCCCACAGGAATTCTGGCTGGACACAACAGCTCCAGGACTTATTTCCAGCCAACAAGAGGTGGCCAGGCTGAGACAGATGGATTTTACACACCCAGAACTGTCACAGATCTCCATAAACAAGGTCTCACCTGGGTAGAGAACCAGTCCACATTCTTATCATAATCAATGTGCATGGGGATGTGATTCATTTGTGTGACCCAGACAAACCAGTTGCTTTCTATAAACCTGTGCAAAAACAAAACATCACAGATCACACACCCATGATGTGATAAGTCAGTACAAAACACCTGTGCACACACCAGGTGGTTGTTGCCTGACAAAATGAACACCAGAAACCCAAGCAGATCAGACCTACACACACCTTTCACCTCCTGCAGCCTGACAGGAAACCAACCCTGTCCCACTGAAAGGATCAGGAGAGAGAACAGGGAGTGATGAGAAAAATAACCAGGGGGCTGGAAAAAAGCTGACATGAAGGATTGATACAGACTGGGCAGAGAAAGTGTTGGAACTGTAAGTTGGATGATACCTGACTAACAGGTGGAGCCCCAGGGTACCCTTCACACCCAGGAAGGGCAAGTAGGTGAGGTAGAATCTGATGTAGAAGGACAGCATCCAGGCCAGGTCCTGTAGTAGAGGGGACAGGGAAAACTTCATTAGAAGGAAGAATTTCTGACTTCTGAATTTACCATCACTCCCTTTAAAACCTCCCATAACATCTTCTGCTGATCAATTTTTCCTCCCCAGCCTCATCACAAAGTAAACTGACACCAGCCACTCCCTGTGCCCAGGAATTATCCTGGTTCCATAAACCCAGCAGAGGGCAAACACCAGACAGGACATGCTCTAAAGCACCACGTTTTCCTCTGGATCTAAAGAGGAACCAAGCAGTGAGGAAACCAAAACCCAGAACACCAGAGGACATCTTCTGTTACCCAGAGGATCTTTCACAAAGAAAGGCTGTGGCTTTGCACACACCATTCCCAAATCTCTACCCACATCCTTTGCTGCAGACACACAAAACTCCCAGTAAATCTGGCACTGGAATTCACCCCTAAACCCAGGAGAAGCTCCCCTGGTCCCTGTGGAGCTGACTCACCACCCACTGCTTCCGCTGCACGGCGAAGTAGAAGATGTACCACTGGAAATAAAGGGGCACCAGCGCTGGGGGACCGACTGGAGGGACAAACAGAGCCATCAGTTATCCCAGCAGGATGGGATGGAATGGGAAAACCAGGGGCAAAGTGACTGCTGGCCATGGAACTGCACAGGGGGAGGTTACTCACTGATGAAGAAGTACTTGTGCTGGTGGTTGTAAGGCATGAATTTCTTCTTTTGCACACCAAGCTGTTAAAATACACAAATTACTCAGGCCATGAAGACATCCATGCACACATTCCTAAACTTCCAGGAGATGCTCCATCCAACCAAACCAGCATCCACCATCCCCTGGAACCTCAGCCTGGATGAGTTTTCACCCTACAGAAGGGGCTGGGCAGTGCCTTGCACACACACAGTGACCTGCACAGGAAGCTCTGCCCCTACAGAGGGCACAAGCTGCCTAAAAATGCTGAAATAGAAACCCACACAAACAGTTTGCTGACAAAGCAGAGCTTCAGAATTAAAAAACCCCAAGCTATGGTTACTGTTATGATACTGTGTGAAGTTTCACACACTTCATTA